TAATTTTAAATAACGCGACAACACATTACTTTTAATGAAAAATAGCTGGAACTTGATATTGTGTTAAGGGCATATATGCCATTAATTTTGTACGCACTAAACTAAAAATAATATTCTCAAGTTGATATTACTAATTAGTTAATTAACTTCAAACACGTGAAATATATATGAAAGATATAATAAGCAAGGGAATTGAAATTCTGATATATAAAAACTTATTCTTTAACCGAACTGGTTTAAAATTTTTGAACCCAATCTGCCCGAACTCTGTTGGAAAAATGTGTTAAACTTGCATTAAATGGTAATTTTGGGGCAATTTTTTGAGTAGGATCCACTTCCGATTTGGGTCGGGTCAAAGTGGTTCCGGATTGTCCTTGTTAAGGGCTACAATTCGATATGTGGTACGGTCAAAACGGATAACGGGTGAATGAGAAATTGATTCTCGAAGTTTACCCGTTAGAATGGGAAAACTGGGAAAAATGATGAGTTTCTAGTGTGTTATTTCCCACACCAAAAAATCCAAGGGATTTGCAACCCTTTATAAATGGACTCCCCCCTTAAGGAGTTAAGATTCCTAAGGTGAAAGGCTCTCTCACGCGTGCGCGCGGAGGGGTGCAAATCAAATCCTGAAACCACGACTTGCGTCCGCGGGCGACCTGCGGACACGAATGTCGTCCAAAAATCTATCTCTCAAGAGATACGGTTAATTTTTCCAGAAGGCTTCGGCCAGAATACCTCGGTATGGTGTACTGGTGACTTCGGACGGACAGAACACCTCAAATGGGGTTCTGTTGGCTTCGGACAGAACTACACTTTTAACTGCACAGTTATCTTTAAGAATTCATTTCAATGCTTTCCCGATTGAAGTTTTAGCTAAAATTTGGTATGAGTAAACTAGACTTAATGAATAAGATGTTCAAAAAATTTCACCGGGAACCGCCCCAAATGGCGACGGCCGGACAGAGACTCCTGTATAAGGGCGTATTTGACCTTTTTATGTAAGTTCGAGGGCCTATCTGATCCTTTTCCCTTATATTAATGGTAATGTCAACAAGGATGACTAGGTTCACAATCTACGGAGTAAATATAATAATGATACTATAATCTTGAAATCATACTACTATATGTATACTATGACATTACCCGGCATTATTAATACAATAGTATTGATGGCATAATATAATATGACATACTTCTATTCTATTTAAGAAAAACATAATAGCCCTATTTAATAAAATCACATTATTTTACTCATATTTGAACAATTTCTTAAGTAATAGCTACCTCTTTCACTTCTTGTTGATTGCGCTCTTCCACTAGTATTACAATGTATAATTCAATGTATATATTTCATTTCTCTCTAGTAATATTGGAAATTTGGAATCATCTATATACTCATCAAATAATATGTAAATCATTTAATTTTTTATATGGATGAACCAAAGAACTTATACTAAAAAGAAAACGAACCATAAATATAAGTCTATTAATGATCATATTTTGACTCTACCACTACAAAGGATCTGCAAAAATTGTTATTATTCATGTAACACAAACTAAAGCTTAGCACAACAATGTCAGTCTTCATGAGTCTATCTTGATTTGAGAAACGTACAACACGACCAAATTCAAATCGAATAAACAACTTACTAGCTATCTCCGTTCTTTTTTAATTGCAACAGTTCGACGTTCACGTTTGCCAACACATAACTGTACTTTGACTGTAATTATATTTAATTATGTATTAGTAAACATTATAAAAAGTAAATATTTTGAAAATTCACATTAATAGAAACTTAATAATATTTTATACATAATAACTTGATTATATATATTAGTAGAAAATCAGGTCAAAGTAAGGTATATGAGAATAGTGCAAAAATCTCAATATTGCAATTATTAAAGAACGGGGGAAGTATAATACAACGAACTAAAGTAATTGAAACTATAAACAAAACAAATCTTAGAAAGTATAGACAAATACAATAGCAACTAGTCAATCCACCCGTGCGTTGCACGGAGAACAAATGAAATCAATTTACTTTTACAAATAATTTATTTAATGAGTAATGTGTATATACATGCTTACTGTATAAAAAAAATCATGATATAAAATTATATTAGAATACATGTATGATCATCAATTAGTACAAAACTACCAAATATGTGTTCTTTCATCCCTAACATATCTTGTCTAATGAAGATGATAACAATTGTTATCATATTACAATCTCATACGTAGTACTCCGTATTATTTAGTTATAATTATGATGATTATTCAACACATGACATTACTTTTTACTATCCTGTTGTGTTTTAAAATTTATAAATATACTACATCTAAAAAGTGAAATTGTTTATTTTATACTCCATGATATCTCTTCATTCATCTCAATATATGTTTTATAAAAGCTACAGATCAAGATTGTTAAAATCACTATATGTTTTAGCTAAAAATCATTTCAGAATTGGGAAACATTATTTCAAATTATGATTTCAACGGATTTTTAAAATAGTTACTTATTTAATTACTAATGAATAGTATTAGTGGAATTAAATGAATGAATTTTTGTATTTTATGTTGCAGCTAATTATAAAAAACAATTACTCTCTCATTTCGTCAAATTGTGCTAACTTTATTTTTGCAACTGACCCAACAAAAATTGTCATTTCATTTAAACTAATAAACGTGTAGGTAAATTATTTTTCTCAACTGATTTGTAAAAATCTCAATCACATACAAAGTAATTTTTAGTTTATTTATGTTCCACATGCAAGTAAATTATGGACGCATTTAATGGGGTAATGAGTATTATCATTGTCTTTTACATAATATTTGTATCCAAATATATTGCAATACTCTATTTTATATTATGAAATTAGAACATTTCATTTTTAACTTTATTGTATTATGTCTCTTAATTAATTATGTATATGTATCTTTTAATATTTTTTTTTAATATTTAATGTATTTATTCTCAATATAATTTTCTAAAGTTTTATTTATAACTTACAACAATTAATTAGGTTGGCACTTAATATGGCTTCACCATGTAATGCTTCATTAATAGTGACAATAATTTTCTAAAGTTTCATTTATAACTTACAACAATTAATTAGGTTGGTAATTAATATGGCTTTATTAAGTAATGCTACAATTAATAGTGACAACAATTCTTCACTTCTTTTGGCTCCAAATAGATTTCTATTTGGATCTCCACCATGTTCTCTTTATATATATGTATCTTTTAATATTTTTTTAATATTTAATGTATTTATGCTCAATATAATTTTCTAAAGTTTTATTTATAACTTACAACAATTAATTAGGTTGACACTTAATATGGCTTCATGCACCATGTAATGCTTCATTAACAGTGAGAATAATTTTCTAAAGTTTTATTTATAACTTACAACAATTAATTAGGTTGGCAATTAATATGGCTTTATTAAGTAATGCTTCAATTAATAGTGACAACAATTTTTCACTTCTTTTGGCTCCAAGTAGATTTCTATTTGGATCTCCACCATGTTCTCTTTATATATATAAACATATATAAACCATTAATGGCCAGTTATGCTTCACCTGATTCCATTGACCTGCAAATCTCTCCAGCCTATCTAACACCAGCAATTTTAACTAACTTGATTTGGTACACAACATATATATAAATATCGTAATACTCTTACATTTCAAGACAATCAATCGGGAGGAGTTGATCTGTCAGTGCCAAAATAGACAATTTGAGAAGCATGATAGCCTTTCAAAAAACAGATCAACGAGAGCTGAATTAAGGACTGAGTTCAAATAAAGAGTTCATTTAATTTGTTGTTAACTTAGAAAAAAGCTAAATTGATGATATTTGATAAATTTGTGGTTTAAAAGACTGAATTTGCTTAAACCTATTAAATTCTAAATATGTTTGTATTTTAGAAACCCATACCCCACTGTAGGTGGAGCCTTTGCGGCACTGGGTAAATGAAAATGATGAAAATGAAATCTTTGTATTTTAGAAAACCAATACATTCGGTGTCAAAAAAAGAAACCTAATAAATTCGACTAAATGAAAAATAAATTAATGCTACTCTCCTCTTTGATTTCACAAAATTCGAATTGAAAAATAACTCTAGTTAATTGATAAAATAAGACAGAAAGGCAGTACAGTAGAGGAATGTAGGTATAGGTAATATGGGACACACCAAATTAACCTACTGCGGATTCTTAACAAATTAATTCCACTTTTAGTATCATTAGTTTTATATCTATATCAACTTTTAATTCACATCTTTTTCTTTGTTTACTTTCAATACTTGACTAATGTTTCAGAGTTTCTTGACCATTTGTTAGTTATCTTTTCGTCCAATTTTCGGACACATCTCGGCGATTTTAACCACTGAAAATACCGACGGAAGGATAATATTGTCCCACACCGGAAAGCTATAAAATAATAAAATACTGTATATATAAGGCTTTGGACTACTCCTCATATCAGGTTTAATCTTTTAGGATGAGATCTCAGGTCTCAACATGGTATCATAACAATTTCCGGTTGTGGTTTGACTGCTTGTTTATCACCCATGACTACAATTAAGTAGCTTGTTGAGGGTCTGTTTGGCCCATTTATACACCCCGATATTCTCCAATCCGATTTGGGCCGAGGGGGAGTGTTAAAGTATTTGTCCCACACCGGAAAACTATAAAACCATAAAATACTACTACGTATATAAGATTTGAGGCTACTCCGATCCTCATATCGGATTGACCTTTTAGAATGAAACCCCATGTGGTAACAAATATATTCATGAAAAATAATAACCACGTACCAAAAATAGTTAAAATCAAATACTAGACAAGTTGTGAAATTGATGCATACTCATGGGTAAGACAAAAAATGGAATTTACTCATTCTTGAACTTTTAATTGTTCAAATATTGGAATGGGTCAGCAGTAAGACTGGTTTCCTTTCTTCAATCTTCAATTCTATTGACCACTGACCGGTCTAAGCTGGAGAGAATGATGAGCATTCCCACTTTCTCCGGTCAGCACTATGACTGAAAATCTAGCTTGAAATGCCTTTCTCCGGCCACCCTCTATATATATATCTTCTCTAATTTACCTCCATTTTTATCTCCATAAATTTACCCACTTTACTGCATGCTGCTTTCACTACAATATCTTCACTTTCCTCAACAATCAATCGGTTGGTTTCAAGTTCCGATCAATTTCATCAGTTATGAATGTTTTTTTATCACAAAAAATGATAATGATATTGATTTGCAGGAATGGAGAACTTAGGAGTGGATGGAGAGATGAAGAAGCTGATAAGTGAGCTATCTCACGGGCGGGATGCCGCCGCGCAACTTCAGATGATTCTGAACGGGCCGGCGCCTCCGCCGACCCGTTCTGATCAAGAAGCTTGCGAGCTTTTGGTTCAGAATGTCTTGTCTTCCTACGAAAAGGTGCTCACCATGCTCAATTCCGAATCTTCGACGGCGAACACTACTCGGGCGGCGGTGCCACCATCTCCGGCAGGGGCCACATTTGGGATTCAATCTTCTTCTTCACTTTCCGGCAGTCCCCACAGTGAAGATTCCGACCGGGATGGCGACGGGTCTCGTAAGAGGTATGTGATTTTGTCATTAATATTACTCCGTATCCTATTAATTGAACCAATTCATGATGTAAATTTTTTGGTTCAGTTCGTCGATTTTGGCTTTATCGATTTGGTTTTTAGTCAGTCGATTTTAAAAAAGGTGAAACGAGCCAAGAACCGAAACGCACAACTTGAGTCGGTTTCGATTCAGTTAATTTCGATCAGTTTGTATTGATTATTCGATTCCGGTCGGCTTAATCACGTTTTGATCGGGTTTTTTTGGTTGATTCTGCTTCCGTTGGTTTTTCAACCTAAAATATAAATCATAAACCAAATCATCGATGAATTAGTCGGTTATTGTCGGTTTCGGTTTCATTCGGTTCAATGTCATGACCAGTACAGTTCCTTTTCCCGGGGAATTGGATTTGCAGGAAAGCTCCTCGTTGGACGCAAAAAATTAAGGTTTGCAAGGGATCAGAGCCTGAAGGACATGTGGATGACGGGTATAGCTGGAGAAAATATGGGCAGAAAGAAATCCATGGAAGCAGATATCCAAGGTTCACATTTTAATTTTCTATTTTCATCATTAAATGTTTTACTAATATGGCCAATCCCATCTTAATTAGAGCATCTCCAATGCTAATACGTAAACGGTGCATACGTGGCATGAGAGATAGCCAATCAAAAAACAATAAATAAAATTTCTTTCTCCTTATTTGAAGGATCTTATATCATTTTGGTAAGTTTTTCTTCGCAATGTCAAGCACAATGTCTAGATGTAGACATTGTAGTTGACATTGCAGAGAAAAACTTACCAAAAACACATAAGACCGTGGAACGACAGAGAAAGAAATGTCATAAAATTAAATTTTTGTGTCTATCTCTCTCATGCCACATGTGCACCGTGCACATTGTAGCATTGGAGATGCTCTTAGCTTCAATAACTTTCACAGTTAAGGCTAAAGATAGCACATTTTCATAAATAGACCAACCTGTTTTAGGATATGATGAATTTTCTGAAAACATAACTTAATTTCTAAAAAAATAAGTTTAGCCTCTTCTAAATTACAGTTAAATAAACTTTTTATACATAGCACGGAGTATATGAATATGCCTCCTCGTGTGATTTATTGTCGTATATTCTCGTTCCGCCAAAACTTGACTCACACACGACGTGAAATATTAAAGAAAATTTTACAATTGAGATATGTACGCCATATCAAAAGTTAATACGGTGTATTAGACACACATTATTAATTATTAATTACATTAAAAAGAAAATGACACTTTTTTTGGGAACTAAAAAGAAAATCAGGCGAAGTATTAAAATGAAAACCAAAGTAGTATGAATGAACACTTTAATAAGTATTGGAAAACTTGAGCAGTTTTAAGCATTGCATTGAGTTAATTAAACTTATTCTTGATTTTAATTATGCACATTTGCAGAGCTTATTTCAGATGTGCACATAGACACACCCAAGGTTGTTTGGCAACCAAACATGTCCAAAGATCCGATGAGGACCCGAACATTTTCGACATTACTTTCCGTGGAAAGCACGCTTGCAAGCAGTTCCAGCCCGGTAACAGTAGCCCGCCACCACTGCCACCACTGCTAATCCCACCGCAAAATCAAGAACCAATAATCTCGGCAATGGAAAGCCAACTTGTGATTAACCCCTTCACCAAACAAGCCCAACGCCTGTCAGGAGACGTCCTTAAAGTTGAAACCGGCAATTTGAACAATGCCCATCAAGAAAACAATCTATTGTTCAATTATTTTGACCTCTCTTCATTAAGCTCAAATCCCAAAAATGATCACTATAGTTTCCAGCCTTACGACCAGAATTTCGGCTGGAATGTTCCGTCAGGCGGCTTTGGTCTTATTGATGGCGGCGGAAGCCAAAATGTTGAGCTAAAATCAGAATTAGCTGCATCTAGTGAAGCTAGTAGGATCACTCCCCCTCCTTCAAGGGCGGTTCAAACGACAAACTTGTCTTTCGTTGACCAAGGATTCCCTTTTGTCACAATGGGATTTGACTCTAATTTCACCTTTGGTGACCATGATGATTTCTTCCCATAGCTCATTTTCAGGTAAATTTGATAAAAACAAATTCTGAATTTGTATCTAGATAAGTGTGAATGTGTGATGTCAATAAGACATTTGTTAATAATGTCTTATTAAATTTTGAGTTTGTCTACTTTTGATACATGCCAACTTTTTGTACGTTCTAGTCCTTCTGACCAAAATTTGCGTCACATATATAACGTCTGAAGCGATTATAAACACCAGTGATATAAACGGGGAAGTACCCCTAAATATGAGCAAATGAGGTTAGGAATTCCAAAATAAGACTAATATGTTTTTCTTCCCAAAATAGGAGTTGTTACTGTCATTTGTGAAAAATACTGTCATAATTGAAAAACAATGTCATTAACTATAATAAATACTGTCATTAATTAATAATTATAATAATTATTTGGTAGTCACGCCTACAAGATGACAGTAAATACTGTCATGTTGGTCTTATTTCGGTCGGGAATAAAAACATATTATTCCTATTTTGGAATTCAAACTCCATTCATTCATATTTTTGGAAATCTCCCTACAAACGGAAGGATCACAAATTGTAAAAACAATAGTCATATACTCCCTCCGTCCCAGAAAATTCTTCCTAGTTTGACTTGGATCGGAGTTTAAGAAAGTGGGAATAAAGTGGAAATGTGTGGTTGTAGTTGTGTAAGAAAAAGGTGAAATGAATGTGAGCCACACAAATAATCAAAAAGGTGAAGTTGAAAGAATTTTCTGGGACGTCCCAAAAAGGAAAGTTGGAAGAATTTTCTGGGACGGGGGGAGTATTACAAATGAATAGTCAAAAGATGTAGAGGTTGCGTAGGAGTGATATATACGAAGTATAAAACTCCTAGAACATTAGTCATATATGTATGTGTAATTTTGGGAGATCAACGACGATCTCGTTTGCATACTATTTGGTAGCCCAAAAAGCACTTTAGTTCATACTTTTTTTTTTACGTACCTGTCTTACTATCACGTTCCTCGCAAGCCCGGCCGGTAAACTGCGTACAATATGCGGCATTAGATGTCAATTAAGATAAAAAGTTAGCTACTCGGAGCATAGGATGTGCAACTTTGTTGAAAAAAAGAAACAAAAAATGATACATACAAATTATACATTTAGAATATCCTTCTAAATCTATTATAGTATCTGCTCTTGTTAATATCAACATCCTTGATTGGAATATGACTCTGAGTTTCAATCCACCATAGCTCATACGGAGTATATAGATCCTCCCTTGTAGCTTGGGGCGTGTTTGGCTTTGACTGCTACAATATAATGTTGAATGTTCGATCTTGGGTGACACATAATAAAGAAGGTTCTATCTAGCAAATACATGTAATGTATGAGTCACATGCATAAATAAGACATCAATCCCTTAAATTTTCAATTAATTAAAAAAGTCTTTTTCATTCATACAAAGGGAGTAAATATTTCTCGTAGTGATTGAGACATACTTTTATGATTGATTAAAGAAATTGTGGCCGTATGCCCGTATTTAAAATAATTATTTATAGAAAAGTACTAGCAACTTGAGATCCTAGTTAGCTTATTTCCATTTTAAACGCGTTTTAAACACATACCGTTTTTTTTGAGTAAAAAACACGTTTAAAACGAAAAATAATGTCGGTCCGTTTAAAAAGGAAAAAAACTCCTACTTCCCGTATAAAACGTATTTTTCCCGTATTTTACAAAAAACAGAAACATGAATTGATCAATTAAACGAATGCATTAAATGCATAGGAGATCAACAATAGTTTAAAAGTAGAAATGAAAACGCCCTCCTCGTGATCCCGTGTTTTTGTATTGTTACAATATAATTATTAATCACTAAAATTAATTGCATGACGGTTAAAGCTAGCATCCTAAAGACTAAAACTTAAAATACTACTCCCTCCGTCCTTAGTAGTTCTTTCATAGTACAAATGACACACATATTAAGAAAGTGGGTATTGTGTTGTGGAGAGTTGTGCAAAAGATAAAGAAATGTGTAAGAAATGCTGTGAATCACTAATTCATTACCAAAAAAGGAAAGTGGAAGTTCTTTTGATATGAATGAAAAAAGAAAGTTGAAAGTTCTTTCAGAGACGGAGGGAGTACTAGATTTCTGATGTTTTTTCAAACAAGCTTATCAAAATTAAGGTTTTTCTAAACTGGACATTTTTTAGTATAAACTTTTAGACAAACAATAATAAGCGTAGCAATTGCACAACTTTTCTCATATGTCATCCGTCATCTTGATGAAAATTATGAGTTTAACTTGAGTGTTATTTGATGATAATAGAAAGATAATGATTTTAACTCAGTCTCATTCTATTGTTATTATGCCTTATTTTTTTGACGTCATTTTGCAAAATTATGTCTTGGACTTGCACCAAGAGGCTCTCCAGTAGAATTACGAATTATTTTTAGGTAGCAATGGAATTTGGCTCCTTGTCCTGGAGGCTCTCCGGTAGAATTACGAATTATTTTTATGTAGTAATGGAATTTGCAACATGAATATGTGTACTTTTATTTCTTTTTACTATATATGTTGTTTTCTATAAAGTATATACTTTAAATGTTCAAAATAATGCCCCGTATTTTTTGTCCGAATTTTTGTAACCGATAACGTATTATACACGTATACGTATTTACACGTTTTATAAAAGTCAACGTTTTTTCAATGAATTTTTGACCGTTTTTTTCATTCATGTTACCGAATAAAACGCGAACGTATTAAACCTCATTTAATTCTCGTACCGTATTTAACTAACTAAATACAGAAATTTTGGAGTCATGCATGACTCAGCTAATTTCTTTTATGAAGTCATATGACTTATGTAATATTATATTATCATCACACATTCTTTTAGTGCAGACTCTCACTAAACTTTGGAGCATGGGATCCAAATTGTAACATCCAGTGTGCATCATTTTTGTGTAAAGATTTCGTAAATTAAATTTTCCCAACTTGTCCTAGTATAATTATGCATTTTTTGGGGTAATAATTATGCATTTATGTGTATATATGTATTATTATATGAAATACTCTTTACAAATTATGGTATATTTAGTTTTTGTATCGTATAATTTTGTTAATGCCCCCCAATATTCATTTAGCCTTGCATCATTGCTTGCATAGTTTCATATATACGAGTATTTGACCGAGTCACCGGGAATCCGAAATAACATTTTACTTTACATAAAAATAATACGGAGTATCTTATACGAAGTAATTTGTGATTTTAAGTCTTTTCACTTTCAAACTTGCCTTGTTAATAAATCAACGGATATTGTTAATAATTAGTAGCTGTTGAATTATGTTAGCAAACATCAATGAGTTAAGTGTCTTAGAGGTTTGACCATTATATTAAATTAAAGGAAGAGCTCTAATCATAGTAGTTAAATATGATATATTTAACTGAAAAAAGTTATACATAAAATATAGTAATATAATACTATACGGAGTATATATTATGTACTTTATGTTATGTTTTCCATTTCATATTTATTTAATTTGATAAATTAGCCAATTTAATTACAAATTTACAATCTCCATCCCTTTCAATTTAACATTTTTTACTTCTCCAATAAAAAATGATAAACATTGACGCATTACTTTAACAAATTTATTTATGTGAAATTTAATAAATTTGTACTTCTATGACATGGAGTAGTATTTTCATATATTATTTTCATAAATATTACCGTGCATAAATATATAATTAGTTAAAGTTTAACATCATTGACATAAAAGTCAATTTTATTTGGTTAAATAAAAAGGGACAAAGGGATTATTCGGTAGTGTTTATGACATGAAAGGTATCATCATGTATTCATGTGTGTGTTTTAAGTAATTTTTTGTTTGAACAAATGTCCTTTTTCTTCTTCAATTCATGCTCTTAGATTACTTGCATCTTTGAGGGTTATCACCGGCGTTACTGCGTTAATGACATTTTTAACGCTAAATATTTCTTTTTTCATTCAAAGCAGATGCGACTTGAAGGCTAGGATCAAGGATGTGAGAGTAATTAAGTAGTACGAAGTATATAATCGGACTGTGCTTTGGGGTTCTGAAATGCCAATGGACGTACTCCTATTGTGTTTCTCTCTTGGTGAAAAACAAAACAAAACAATTTGAGACATTACATGTGATGGACGGCTGAGGTTGAGTACGAACCCAAGCGAGAAGTTAAAATAAGACTATGTATTACTCCGTACTTTAATGTATATATATATATATATATATATATATATATATATATATATATATAGATATACTTATAGAAGATATACTAGTTTATGTTGAGGGGTTGCCCCAGTTTAATACTAATGTGCTTTTACACCACATAATATATGAATAAAATGTATGTAGATTGTTATAAGGTAAGATGAGGCTATATACTTTAAAGTTGAAACGGCAATTAAATGAAATAATAACTCTTACCGCGTCTTAGAGTTCTAGACGTGCTATAATAATTAGATCAATTAGGTCTTCACGCCAAAATCTGAAACTTGATAAGCTGAAAATTAGTGAAATTGTTGAATGTGGGAAGAGTATTCAAATTAAATGGTGCAATTCAATCACTTCAATAAGTTAAATGTAGATTACTTAAATAATACTTATGACATGACCAAATACATTTCATGGTCGCCAACGACATAAAATATTCAAATATGATCTTATATATAGCATGTATATTCCGCTAAGATACATATGATCAAGTTGATCATCTGTTGAATTCGTACTCAATTTACACTATAGATTAATCATTCTGCAAAACAGTGAAAAAATGTGAAATTTGAGAAGATTTGAAACTTCAATTTAAAGGTAAGAGATTTAATTTAATTTAATTTAATTGAGATGAGTTTTAACTATTAAAAGTCTGGCCATTACATAAAAACAAATTCAACCTTAGCTTAGCTTATCATTCAATTCGAAAATGTAGAACTGGAAGTTTTGGGGAACTTAATCTGATCTTGATGCACTATTCTATAAACTGATTGTGTTGACCATAGTTTCTAATTTTCTATGGTTTTTGTATTGAGAGGTTTGGGGTAACAGAAGTGAAAACAGTAGTTTTCTAATATTTTAGAATGAGTGTATACACTACAAAAAAACACGAGATTGGCACGGAATTTGGCATGGAATTACCGATTTTTCGTGTCAAATAGCTCGTGCCAAGTGTTTTTGGCACGTATATGGCATAATCCCTGCCAAAATCCCTGCCAAAATTCGTGCTAATCCCGTATTTTTTTTGTAGTGGTATTCGTTTACCAAATTATTAGAAATAATCTAACCACAACTATATATGTCATTATGTCATTAGAATAAATTTGATCACCAACAAAATATAAAAAGTAGCCAAATACTCCGTAATAAAGTTATTTAGCAACAAATAATAGAATAAATGTTATAATTTGAGGATAAAAGGAGAGATGCGATAGATTGTTGAATGAAATTTATAGGAGAGCTGCCTTATTTTTTAGGCTAAAGGGTCAAATAAATAGGCCCTTGAACTAACTTAAAGTGTTCAATTAGCCCCTTATAAAGGATGTTCTGCCCGGCCGTCGTCAATTGAGGCGGTTCCCAGTGGAATTTTTTGATGAAATTTTTTGAGCATGTTCTTAATTAAGTCTAGTTTACTCATACCAAATTTCAGCTAAAAATTCAACTGGGAAGGCAATCAAATGATTTTTTGAAGATAACTGCGTAGTTAAACAGTGCAGTACATTTCGGAAAATCATTTGACTGCCTTCCCGATTTAATTTGTAGCTGGAATTTGATATGGGTAAACTAGACTTAATGAAGAAGATGCTCAAAAATATTTATCAAAAATTCCACCGGGAACCGCCTCAATTGACGACAGCCGGGCAGAACATCCAATATAAGGGGCTAATTGAAAACTTTAAGTTAGTTCAAGGGCCCATTTGACCCTTTAGCCTATTTTTTATGATTAAGATATAGCTAGATACGTAGTATGATAGATATTTAATGAGTTCAGGAGAGAGATGAAAGAGTCATATGGCGCACAAGCCAAGGGCGGATACATGAAAGACAGTTGGGATGAGCTAAGCAGTAAATTTTTTGTTAATGAACACAAAAGGTTTATATTAGGGCTGCTATCGAACTGAGCGTTTTTCGAACTACCCGAGTTCGAGCGTGATTTCGAATTTAATTTAACTATCAGAGCTTAACGAGCTTCGAACTTGAACACAAGATAGATTTTGAGTTTGAATATTTATTTAAACTCAGCTCAACTTAGAATAGTAATTTCTTTATATTTTTCTAGCATGTTTAATCTCCAAATGAGGAGCTAAACTCCTATTTCTTTGTTTAGATTTTGGAGCTTGTTGAATGTTTACGTTTTGAGTTACTAACATTAATTCTTTACTTGATCATATCTCTATATTAATGTTGGAGTGTTGCTAAGTAACGATTAGTTAAGTTTTTACATTCATTACTACTAGAAATTATCAATGAACCGATGGTTAACCATTGATGATTTCACAAGTAAGTAACTTCAGGTTATTAATGCATTGTCTCATGTTTAGTAATTATAAGAGGGATTAATTGTGTTGGTTAAACTAAAATCGTTGTGTTGAAGTTATCAATCTCAATTGATTTCATCAATGAGTTAAGATATTAAATGCTACTATTAAGTCGATATATGACAATGTTCTATATTTGGCTAATAGTAATGTTGTTAATGAACAATCTCGTTATTAATAACTATCCTCGATGAATTGGATATACTCCTCGATTGAGTATTCAAAGAGAGGATAAGTTAAAGAACATTTCATTAAGTGGATAAAAGCAAAGGCAAGTCTTCATCTCTATTATGTAAACCACATAAGTCGTTCAACTTAGGGGGTGTTTGGATCTGATTCTTAAAACTGCTTCTGCTCCTTCAGAGAGAAGAAGCAGAAGATGAAGTGTTTGAGTGAAAGTGCAAAAGTGATTCTGGTGCTTTAATTTACTCTTAGAATCAATTTTTTTAGAAGCTGGGGGGGACCAGCTTCTGGAAACTGATTCTGATTTTGCTTCTGCTTTAAAAAAGAAGCATAACCAAAACCAGTTCCAAACACCCCCTTAGTGTTTGAAAATACTTTCAAGTTCATCAACCAATCTAAAAACCCCTTTGTTACTATTTAATAAAGAAAAGAAGTATTCTTTTCCTTGTGGATACGAACCTTACTTCGTTATACTACGTAGAATCGTTGTATTGATATTTATTTTGAATGCACATCATGACAAAGTGCTCGTCACTCCCCCTGTTTCCTGAAACATTGAAGGAAACAAGAAATTGAGAATGACAAAGACATGCATGAAACCATCATCAAATGTGATCTAAACATTCTCTTTCTCAACTTAATTAAAGTACTCCTTGGATCAGATTTGATTTAAAATAGGACACGCCGATTAAAGGAAAAACAAAAGATTCAAGTTAGTGAACGTGTCTCGACCATCACTAGTACAAAAAAGGCTTTTCACATCGGTTAAAAAAGACTTTTCACATCGGTTCTACAACCGATGTGGTTCCAGCCCATGTGAAAAGTAGATACTTTTAACATCGGTTCCGTAACCGATGTAAAAAATGTTTCCACATCGGTTGTTAGATAGACCGATATAGAAAAGCATCAAAACAGCCGCTCCATAATACATATAACATCAGGTTTGACCGATGTCAAATAATTAACATCGGTTATTGAATAAACGATATGAAATATCACTTAATTTGCCGCTGCACATCACATACTACATGGGATGTAACCGATGTGGAAAAGATTACACACCGGGTTTACCAATAACCGATGTCAAATATTCTTTTTGTAAACCCAACACAGTACTACTAATTCTTCAATCAAATCATATACATCATACAAAAATTTTATTGTACTAGTTTATCATGTACAGAATAGTGAAATACAGATTCTAACATTGAGGAAATATTTATATTACTTAAACACACCACATAAATGTAATGACATAATAAATATAGAGTCACATCAACTAACTGATTTCCAAAACCAACTAAATGTTCTACTAAGGCACTATTTTATTACAATTTACAAAGAGCACACTTTAAAAGAGTTACATCACACATGTAAATGTCATCCACAAGTTTCGCAACTTTTACCTCGCAAACAATTTTTTTTGCACAAGTTCCTGCACAACGACATAAAAAGTATTCACGTCATTAGTGAAAAAGTGAGCAGACTAGCAGATCATGAATGACGCTAAAAAATTAATACATGGAACTAAAGTTTCTGATTGGACATGATTCTAGTATACTCTTGAGAGACAAAGACACTCTATGATGAACAAAAACTAACTAACACATCAATATTCCACAAATTGGAGAGCTTAAAATTATATTTCATAACAAAAGCATGACATAAAGTTAATAAAAGCTAAACAACCTCATGTCCAGGCTCTTGAATGACAGAACCAATGCTTAAAGCACTAAAACATTCATTAAACTTATACTACACAAAAAGACAGTACAAAAGCAATTACAACCACAATTACTATGGGCAACAAAAAAGAAATACTGCCTAAGAAACTTTTACATCTAAAATAACATCTCATATTAGAAGAGAAGAAATCAAATTCTCTTATCCGATTCTCAGACGGTATAGCTAATAGTAGTTTAACAAGGTCCTACAGAAAGCCAAATACAAATGGAATGCTTTTGATACCCCATAGTATTCTTACACAACCATCTTATTAGAACCAATGTAAATAGTAGATATGCTCTACTCGAAATGATATGCTTATCTAGAAGCTAGCCACTGTAACCATAAAAATATATGGTAGTCATAGGTTCTCACCAATAAACTCAGCAAAAACATCCTCATACTTATATATGGCAAAAGCTTGCTAACCTGTAAGGCTGTAAAGTGTACGAATATCTTGCTAACCAGTAACATCGTCATTCTAAAAACATCTGTACTAGCAAAATCCAGTCTAAAAATAAACAGAATGAATATCTTGGGATATCTTACTAGTTATAAACAGCTTTTTTACTAAAGTGAACAATACTTTTCTGAACATAAAACCTTTCACATTTACAAGTAGATGAAGCA